ATTCACCTTCTCTTGTCTGCACCGCATCCAAAAACCACTGAGACCTTCCACAATTCAACTTTCCATGATGTTAAGTGGCTTATCCACCAAGGTGTCACCCTTCCCCTGCAGAACTCACATGTAATGAGACGGGAAATGAGCTTTTTTTAAGGGGGGGGGACCCCGGGGTGGGTGAACCACTTATAATTCATGAGTGGGGCAAAGAAGAATGCCATTCAGTTGAGTTCATCACCATAGAGAAGAAGACAGCGTGTGTATGAGACGGTGCAGCTGGCACAGGAAATGTTGACTTATCTTTTACCCCTTGCTACCTGGCAAGAGTCCCCGAAATGCAGTCGCCGCTCCTCCGCGAGTTATTCCGCGGACACGCCCTCTTCAAGCTTGCCGTTATGAACTACACTTTGAATGTCTGCCTTTGATTGCAATAAACTCTCAAATAGGTAAATCGATGGCTGCTCAATTCATGACCATCGTGACAACTGGTCATCCTAAAATTTTCACTTTTCCTACAAATCACAGGGACATATGACTGCCTCGCGACCGCACGCAACCGTATCACAGTAGTCGCACAACCGCACACAACCACAGGGTCTTTCGCTTAAGGTGCAGCAAATTGCTCTTTATCAAAAAATCACCGGTTGCTCTCCCGGTCCTTTTCCTTTTTTATGCATTTTCGGATTTCATCTGATCACTGCATTTGTCAATAAAAAAAACTCAGGCGCTGTTCGGCTTGAAAGGGGCATTTCGCGCTTTCGCTGGTTTCTTTTGCTATTCGTGTTATTCAACATGTTACATGTAGGTGAACCTGTAAAGTGCTGTGAAGCTGCGAAATGGTGTGAGTGAGCTATTTTGAATCACAGGAATTTACAGGACTTCATGAGGTGGCATGGACTAGCTTTCGCTTAGGTATAATAATGGCTTCGCCCGTCCAGCACACGCACCGACCTTCGCAGCCCAAAACCTTCCGTCACAAACTTTTCATACCATTGACCAAATTCCTGTTTGTCACCACCTTTACGCAAAGTTCGCATGCTCGCACAAGCAGCAGTGGCCATTGCCAGCGAGAAGACTGCGTGGTGTCTCTGGTTTTCTGAACTTTGTTGACAAATCTTCGATGTCACCAGCTAGTTGGAGGAGGCTAAAATTGCTCAATTACTGTTAGAGCTGAATGTTTTCCAAAATATTATTGAGGCATAAAAACTAGTGGTTCCTTAAATGAAGTATAAACGTACTATAGAGGATGTGCGACGACTTCTTCCACTGACAGGATCCGACCCAGCTTTCCTTCATAGCCGTCAATCATTCCTAGTAGTTGATTCAAGGTGATGTTCACCTGCAGATTAGTTGGATTTGACTTTAATGGCCAATTTCATGGATCAATCCATTTTTATTTCGAAAGTTCTCACGCCACTGTATTTGGGAGCCAAACCATCGTGGAAAGTGTCCAACGAGCTTGTACCTGATTGCTGGGGAGGAAGGGGACCATATTCGACCTCAAAAACATTTTCCGACCGATGGCTCCCACTTGGGAGCGCTTCACCTTTTCTATTTCTAATGGGCGATTGTAGCTCTATCACCCATCTGATTCAATTTCTTGAGGGGAGAGGGGGAGGAGGGCTGGGTATGGATTGCATCGAGGGAAATTTTGGGGCATTTGTATTCAGCAAGAACTACCCATATCCCGATCATGTGTCCTGAAGCAGAAGGGCGCAGCGTGGGGAGAAGTGCATGCAATGGTGCGACCAACGAGTCATCTCCTTTGCGCCTCTCGTCCTGAAAGTGGTCCACTACTGACCTGTTTCCAGTATGGATCGTCTGGATAGCTGGCAATGTTATCCTGCATCCATAAATAATTGTCCAAGAGATATTCATTGAGATCATCGCAGAACTGCTCGGCTCCATCGCAAAAGCCATCCACAGTGTTGGCCACATGTAACCGAATCAGGTCGCGGGTTGCTCTCCCTAAATGAGTATTGTTATTGTTCGAAAGATAAGCTAAATAAAATGGGAATCATATAGAGTTTACATAGATATAATAATTCCTCTCATCTGATCATAGGGGCTCAAGAACCCAGAAATACAGGCCCTACGGCAAGCCTTACCTTGGGGAGGCTTACGACTCCCAGATTTTTGGTTGTTCCAGCGTGCTATACCCCCTCCCCCTCAAGGGCAGTATTTTGGTGAAACTGAGTAGGATCTAAAAAACCTAAAAAAGCTCCAAAAAATGGTAACAATTTGGGAGAATTTAGGAAGATGTTAGACTGGCGATGGAACACTTGACGGGGGAGAGCAGTAGCCAACCATCAAGGCCAACTTTGCAAGTTGCGAGGGCAGGGTACAGCATCGTGATGTGTGAGATGGTGGTGTAGGTACGATCCTCCCCTCCGAGAGAGGGTGTCAGTATGACCCCCGGTCTCGTATACCCTACCTCTCCCCCCGCCGCCCACTTGCTCCCCTACACCGGCAGTTACTCCTATCAGATATTATTCCCCCTTTTCCAAGTTTTCTTGATCCCGAAAATATTTTCTGTCAAGCGGGGGGGGGGGTGAAGGGGGGGAGAAATAAATAAGCACACATGAAACAGGAAACAAATGTGCGAGCTGAAAAGTAGAAATCAAACGAGCGAAGATTCCTTCGCAAGCGATGGCGAAATTTCGTCTCGACAAAGGCCGGGATCACTACGAATCCTCCCTCTCTCCTCAAGCGATAAATTACGCACCTTCCTGCTCCCCCGCTTCCTCGAGAAGGAGGAAATGAGGAGGGTGGACTCCAGTATTCGGTACTGGTCTGTGTCAGTACGACCACCCCCTGTGTTTCACCACATATGATGCTGAGCTCTGTGTCCGAGAGTGTAAGATAGCGGCTCCGGATACCATCGGGTTAGCAGGCTCCGGTTCCAGCTTACACGAAGGTCCACTGTCCTCCCATCTGTGTCGGCCCTACCTATTCCGGACATTCCTGCCCAAGCGTGAACGTTTCCTCCACATCAGCAAGCAAGCTTGAACAGCCTAACTGCTAACGGTCGACTCTCGTCGCCATAAAGCCTTCGATCTGCTCACGGTGAATTGGTAACGGGTTCATCTGTGGAGACAAGGATTGAGAGGTTCGTGGGCCAGCTCCGGCAAGCTATAGGTGCAACCGTATCCGGACCCCACTGAGACTCTCGATGGAAGTCGCATACACGGCGCATCTTAAGAATGTTGATCACATCCCGTGGCAAAAGATGATGTTGCGATAGGTCCACATAGTTGACTGCGATTCGACCAAGGAATTCAAGGTCTATATCTTATCAAACCAACTGGCAGGTATTTACGAGAGGAAAGACCAGAGCACGATTATAATCATTCCATCCCTGTTTAAACCATAGATTAGCGCAAAAAGACAATTCGCAATACATTCCGTCGAAAGGATGATTGACACTGCGCACTTGGAAACAGCTCACTGTCACTCACTTTTTATACCGAGTAGGATCGGACTCCAACAATTTTTCCTACCATTATCGGCAACGATTATCGGAAGGGTGCAGGAGATGAGAGTTGAGTTTTCACACAACTTTTGTCGCACTAAGCCGAAACCTTGGTTAGGGGAAGGACACAGAGGCGCTGGGGTGCACCATTCATCGCGAAACGACGGTGACGCTCCTTTTCTGAATTTTCCCTAGGTAAGAGCAGTTGATAAAGCATAATACTGAATGACGATCATGAATCGATCAAAAACTCGAGAAATTAGACGAATGTCGGTCATCGCGTGCATATATTTCTTTCGAGATGACAAGTGCAATTTTGAAGAAAATTTTCTCCACGTCACTGCAAGTCATTGTCGTTTGTCCATATATCATTAGAACCTTTTAATCTTCCCTCAACCGAAATGACTGGGGGAACCGGACTGGCATTCTCCGTCCCACTTTTACCACCGTCTGTCCGACGCTCCCCCACTGAGAAAAATAAAAGTGACAACCATGAATCGATCTAGAACCGAGAAAAGGAAAAGGAGACGCGTCCAGAAACCACCTTTTTCTTTGGAAACCGTTGAAAGTAGCCCAGAACTGGATAAATTTAGGAAGGCTAACAATAAGATGGGAGATGAGGCGGACCGTACAGAA